TCTAACTGGTGAAACTAGCCCCAGAGTCAAAAGTTGGACGAAAAGAGGTGAAAACCGGGCAAAGAGGGTGATCCAGGCGTAGTTCACAGGTTAGCATTGGAGTTCACGATCCACTATGACCGTGAACTAAAGCCCAAAACGGTGAATCGCGATGCATCCAGGAGAAATCTGCAGTTACTAGCGCGAGATGAGTTCACGGTCAACAAGACCGTGAAGATTTAGGCCAAACCGTGAACTCCTAATGGCGAAGCGGTGCGTTTCGACATCGCGCTCTGTGTTCATGGACGCGTTGAAGAGTTCATGGCCGTGCACTAGGGCCGTGATCTGAGCCCGATCCTGGTATATAATGTGAGCTGAAAGGAAGAGAGAAGGGGGGGGGGGGGGAAGTGTGAGACAATGTCTTCTTCTTCAGATTTTAGAGAGAGAAAGGACGAACCACGGAAAAAGGAAGGCTAGGGTTTGCTCCAAGTGGTGAATTGGGAAGAATGTCCCCAAGCCAAGATCAACACAAGCTTAGAGGAGATTGGAGGCATGTCCATGATGGTTTCTACCTCTTCCTCGTGTGTTCTTCCCATTTCTAGCATGCAGTAGTACTCTTTTTCACTTGGGTGTTGTGAAACCCTAACTATTTGCCATGTAGTTGTAGTGTGACTTGAATGATTTTTTATGGGTGTTGTTTAATTTAATGATTGAGGTATTTTTCATGGTGATTGTGCATGTGTGTGCTTAGCAATCTAATTGGCCATTCTAACCTAGGTTAGAGGGGAAACCCCCTTTTCCAAAAGAGGCTCAATTGAGCTAGACTTCCTTGGGCTTGACAAGCCTAGGTCAAACCTCTATCTTGAATTAAACAACTACGTTAATCATGATTAAGCCGCCCAACCATCGGTTTGAGGGAGAAGGTAAGTCAACCCTTAATTGCCTTAACCAAGAGGGATACTCTTGTAGCCTATAATGTATCTCTTGGTTTGGCAATTGAGAGTATGGCCCTCGACCATAGTTACACCTCCTAGCGGTTCATGATTGCCTTGCCCACGGTTAGTGTCGTGAGATTGCATTGCCTCGACCATAGTTACACCTCCTACTGGAAAACAATTGTCGTGAGATATGGGCCGCACGGTTAGTGTTGCTGTTGGAAAATGAGTGTTTCTTTTTTCATTCCTTGTTGGAAGGGGAGAGAAACGACACTGCGTGGAGACAAGCGGCATCGCGGAGAGTTAAAACGACACCGCGGATTAGAAAACGATACCGCGAGAGGCCTTGATAACCGATGCCGATTAATTAAAAACCATATCGGGTAAGTGATTGGCCCAAAATCCGCTCAGCCCAACACTGTGAAAATCTTGGCGGTTTAATGCACTGGTATTTTTTTATTATGTTGGACGGTCTCGTTTAATTAAAAACGATACCGCGAGTAAGCCCAGAGACAGCTTAAGGGATCAACAACCCCGCGGTATGGGTAAAAAGACATCGCGTAGAGGCTCGACGATAACGCGGTGTTGAGAATTCGGTGAAAACAATGCAGCGAAAAGATTAAACGGCGCAGAGGGATGAGAATTTGACCGAGTGACAATAATGAGCCGGTTTAATTAATTAATCTTTTTTAGTAATGATTTTAGACGGTGTTGTTTGGCTAAAAACGACGCCACGAGAGAAAACGACACCGCGGTAGTGGGTAAGAGTTCGGTCAAAGGCGGCCCGCCAAGCCCAACGGCAACACAAGACTAGAAAATGACGTTGTTTGATGGGCTAATGATGTCGTTGGTCAAACCCGGCCGGGGCAATTGAGTTGTGATTTTAAAATGACATTGAGTAGTGAAACGCGATGCCGCTGTAATGGTGAGCGACGTCGTGTGATTAAAAACAATGTCGCGAGGTTCATGATTTTGTCATGGATGATGAGAACGACGCTATGAACGAAGGAAGTTTATTCGCTCAGTTTGTGGAGGTGAAACGACATCGTTGCATGGACAAGGTTGTAGGATTTGGCTCAGCGTCGTTTTGCCAAGTTTCTGCGTAGCGGAACGGTTTCGGTGGCACGTGATTATCACGCAACAAGGAGGAAGTTACCCGCACGGTTGACATGAATGAAGACGTGGGAGACAAAGGCGCGATGGCGGTTACTACGACTACGGACAGAAGATTGCGGTATAAACATAAAAAAGAGAGAGAAGTTCGGGATGACAAAATCAAATCTCAAACTGCACCGTCGCAGAATTATCTTTTTTTCTCTCTAGTTTCGTAGAACAGCTCTGTCAAAGACCTCCTTTGCAGAGTCGTAGTAGTCATCGTAGTCGTAGTCGCGAAGCTCTCCAGAGGAACCTCCATAGGAGTAGTGGTAACGTCAATTAGAACACTCTTGCTTCGGTTTTCTGGTTATTCATCGAACACCCTCGTTCGAACGTAGTTTGGAGAGGTGGTGAACTGAATAACGGTTGTTCTTGATTATAAGTAAAAGGTGTATCTATCAAATCAACATCGCCCCGACACTTGGAGGTGAATATTTGACGATAGTCTTGGTTTCTGTTTAATCGATCAAATCAACAACGCCGACATTCGGTGGTGGATATTTGACAGTTGTTTGACTATGTGTTTTGCATTTCCTTGAAAATAGAGCCACATTGAACAGGCGAGTTTCGCCATCGAAACATTACTGCACCGCCTAACTTCTATCTCTGACATTTAGCCTGATTAAACTGGCCGACACCGCAAGAACGAACGAACGACGCTATTAGGGCCCTCACCGGCGGCTTCTTATGGCAAGATGCCGGCAAGGTATGTTATAGGCAAGGTATGTTATTAAATTCATTAATACTATGTCATAATTGCGTTAAGCTTGCTCCTCTGTGATATAGATTTCAGCGGGAACAAATTAGATGAGTAACCTTATGGTGAGTAACCCGTCCACATCAGCATCCCTCTCTCTTCTGGATTTTTTTTAAATTTTCTCCTCCTTAATCTTTGACGGACGATTACTCACTCTTTTTAAGTAGAAATTTAAATTTTTTTGCACAGTTAGATCAGATTAATTGTGCTCATCAAAATGATATCCACTTTGATATATTTTTCGAACAAAAAAAATTGAGCCATTTTTTACCATTCTATACCATATGGTATTGACTGGTATTGAAATAAGAGCATATCTATGGTTTGAAAAGCGTACCATGGTGGTATAAACAAACCAAGAATGTAGAATGGTTGAATACATGATAGTAGAAGTATATTAACTGTCATTTACGACTTTTAACATTGTGTACCACAAGATAGGAAAAAATCCCAAAGTACACTAGTTCTTAAAAAAAATTCCCAAAATACATAAGTTATAAAAAAAATTCCAAAAGTACACATGTTTGAGCATCACCGTTTTAGACAAAAGCGGTGAAGATCATCACCGCTTTTGACCAAAACGGTGAATACTTCACCGTTTTAAACTAAAACGGTGATGTATTCACCGTTTCATACTAAAACGGTGAAGGGTTCACCGCGTTTGTTAAGAACGGTGAATACCTCACCGTTTTAAACAAAAACGGTGAAGCCTTCACCATTTTAGACTTCCACGGTGAAGGCGCTGACGTGGACTAATGCGGGGTATTCACCACGTTAGACAAACACGGTGAATACCCGTGTTTGTTTGCGTCAGCGATCCGCGTCGCTGGCGCGTTCACCGTGTCCGTAGGATGCGGTGAGGCGCGGATCGTGGTTTTCTTTCCAGATCCGACGCCTCACGCTGAGCCACGTCGCTCGATCCGCGCCTCATCACCGTGTTCGAGAAACGCGGTGCCTTCACCGTTTCTGACGGACGCGGTGAAGTCTGGGAGAATTCAATTCTCGGCAGATCCCTTCCCCCCTTCCCCAACTATAAATAACCCTTCCCCTTTCACTTTCAACTCACACCACAAACATTTCACTTCTTTCTCCCTCAATTTATCCGCTCTAGTCTCGTTCTAAGTATGCTCTGTGGTTGCGGCTAAGTCCGATCTTCCACATCAGAAAGAATTACTAGAGTTTGACCCTAACAACAACATAATACGAAAATTAACGAAAATAAATTCAACTAACTAACAACAACATAATACGAAAATTAAATCATACTATAACTAACGAACATAAGTTCAACTAACTAACAACAACATAATACGAAAATTAAATCATACTATAACTACTAAAAACATAATTAGACTATAATACGAAAAGTCTCAACATACCGAAAAATTTCTGTTCTGTGTATTATGCTCGATTTTGGCTGCTGAAATTTGAAGAAAGGGGAGTGGTTATGTTTTTACAACTGCTGGTGGTGTGCAATTTATAGGAAAATCTGCCTACTATTCACCGTTTTTGTCGAAAACGGTGAACACCATCACCGCGTTTGTCTCAAACGGTGAATAGGTGGTAGCTGCGACCTAATTTTGACCTACCAGGGGTGGGAAACGTGGAAAATGATCACCGCGTTACTTAACAACGATGAATGGGTTCACCGTTTTTGACCAAAACGGTGATGTGTTCACCGTTGTTAATTAACGCGGTGAAAACTTAACCGTTTTAGTTTGAAACGGTGAATACTTCACCGTTTTTGTTTATGACGATGAAGTATTCACCGTGTTCGTCAAACGCGGTGATGACCTTCACCGCTTTTGTCTAAAACGGTGATGCTCAAACATGTGTACTTTGGGAAATTTTTTTATAACTCATGTATTTTGGGAATTTTTTTTAAGAACGTATGTACAGTGAGATTTTTTCCCCACAAGATACTACCCCGTACCAAGATGGTATTGTGTGTTATTTTTTTGGTCCCCGTACCAAGTATCATTAGTCACCTTCCGTATTGTTTTTTTTCTAATTTTGTTCAGGTTACTGGAGACAGAAAACTATGCTTTGGTGGCTTGGTTAAACCAGACAACAAAAGGATCTTGTCTTAACAAACACTTCTGGTAGTCCTATATTTCATCCTCTACTACAGGTACCTCTTGCATCCATATATATATGTAATTTTTTTCTACACTTCAACCTGAGAATTTTATTAATGAAGACTAACTTACGGTACGGTGGGTTTGATTTACAGAAAGAAGCCCAACAATTGGTAGATGGGGCCTCCCAGCCCATACAACAGTCCGATCCCAGCCCAACTTGATATGGGCAGGTCCATTGGCCCCTTGTGCGAATGAAACTACACCCTGCAATCTTCCCTTCACGTTTCAGTTGCCATATTCTCTCCACCAGCCGTACCTATTCTGCTCGATCCTCGTCTTTCGCCGAGATCCCGAGCCACTTGAGAGCTCTTTGAATCCCAAGCCAAATAGCCCTTCCTTGTGCGCATCCTTCACAGTCCTTTTTCCCAACGAGAGAAACCGATTATGAACTCTGCCTTCCAATCTCTGATTAGACCTCCGATGCTTATTCCTTGCTCTCCCATTATGCCGGCATCGGAATCGAGTTTAAACACACCCTCCAGTGGGTTTTGCCATACCCTCCCGATGCTGGTTGATTGCATGCAAAGGTACCTCTTTTCTTTCTGCTGTACCTCGTTATAATCATCGATCCAACTTGGGGCTTTCTGTGCAATTTCTCCCTCTTCAAGTTTTTGATTTTTGAATTCGTGGTTATTTCTTTACCCCCATTTAAACCACAGGGGAGCACTAAATTTTTGTGCTTTTTGCGACAGGGAGTTCTTTGTACACCTTCTCAATTCATTCCTTGCATTCCAGATCATCCCCGACTTCAAAACAGTCGGCTTCTGTGGTTGGTCTCTTTATCCGGCAAGTCCAGTCGCAGTAGTGACCAGATTCACCCCACTTGGTAAGATTCCTCTCCCTATTTTCCATGGTAGAATCCTTACCATAGGCTGGATGGGCAGTTCCCATAGCCTGATCCAGAACTCAGGTTTATACATTGCTTCATAGTTAGGTCTATTATGGTTTGCTCCCTTATGAAGAAGATATGCCGATTTAACTGCCAAGTTTCCATTTTTACTTTGTGTCAAACCAGCATATCCTCTTCGGCCTGGTTAGGTAGAGGAGTATGACTTATAGCTTGTTGATCGGCTTCATTAAACAACAGCTTCAGCTTGTTATAATCCTAGTCCCCTGTTGTTTGATCAATCAGATTATCAACAGTTGCTGAATGATCATATATGCCTTGTAAGTTCACTCCAACACTTCTATTCTCGTGACTCGAACAACAGCTCTTCTACTCCATGCTGGCCACTAAGCAATCATCAATCTCTTCTATTGTCGATCAAGTCTTCCGGTGAACTCCAATCCATCCCCACTTTTTCTCATACCAGCTTGTCCATGTTCGGGTACTCTGCTTTAGGATGTTATTTTACTATATGCTTTTTCATTTGGTGATTTTATTTCAGATACATTTTCGGGAAGTGATTCCTGTGGAGTTGGTAACATGTAAACAATGAATGACATGTGTGATCTTGGTTTTATATGCTATAGTGGAGCATGTTGGTGTTGTGAAAACTCTCTTGTGGATTGATATTGAGGCTTGTTCCTTGCATATGGTAGTTGAAAAGCTGAGATGAAAAATGAAAAGAGGACCATTTGATGCTTTATTTTGTAGCCCTTTTTTCTTAATTTTTTGTTGCTTGTACTACAAATGATGGATATGTAGTGGAAGGCAATTGTCGTCATTAATCTGAATTGATGTGTCTTTCATTACAGGTGTTGAACGAGAGGCATACTAAAGATGGAGAAAAGAATGGTGATTGCCTGACTTTGCAAGAGTTGCATCAGCTGGCTGATTGCACAATTGCAAAGAAGAGCAAGTGGAGTAGTGCTATAGAATAGTTGCAGCAGCTACCTGAGGGCACAATTGCATACAAAAACAAAAGAGCTAGGTTTGTCTCTTTCTGTTGGATGCTGGCTAGGTTCGTCTTAGAGAGAAGTTTGTGTTGATGACCGAACAAGAGCAAAAAAACACGGATGGTGGCTAGGTTTCAGTCCTGGCAAGCAGCGCCTTAACAGCAGCAGCAGCCTCCTGACCAGCGCCTGCAGTAGCAGTAGCATCCTGACCAGCAGCTGCCTCGGCGCGGGCAGTTACAACACCTGGTGGATTCTTTATTTTCATAGCCTCCCTGCTCTCGGAATTTTTCCAGAAATAGCACATTTAATTTTTTTTTTTACAAAAATAGCACCCACCCGAAAATACTTACAAAAGTAGCACCCTTTTTTATGGAGCGCATCTCCAACGTGCGTTTTATATGTAAACCGCAGCTGGAGGGTGCGTTTTATATATAAATCGCACCTCTAAGGTGCGGTTGATTATCCATTGCCAAAATTGCATTTTGGCCATGAGGTTTTTGGCCTGACCTACATAAACCGCATGGCCGAGGTGTGGTTTTGGCCTGACCTATCAAAATCTCACCTTGGAGATGCGGTTTGCTTCTTCAAAACAAAACCGCACCCCACTGTGCGGTACGAAGGAAAATTGATCATCTCGCCGTTCGGACAGAGGCGTGAACCGGGTCGCCCGAGGAAAAAGAGAATTCAAAACGAAATGGATCAAAGTGGAAGACCACCACGAGGCACAAGACGATGTTCAATATCCAAAGTTCCAGGACATAATAAATGAATGTGTCCAAGATCGATTGATTCGCAAACATCGGGTCCTGATGTGGGGGACTCAGCTAATGCGAATTGTTGATTGATGACTTTTTTGGCAAATAATTGTGAATTGTTGAATTGTTGAAATGATTTCTTTGGCAAGTAATTGTGAATTGTTGATTGATTGAATTTAGATAATATCAAGTTAACACGAAAAAAAATGGACAAAACCAATTACATAGAAATAAAAACAAATTAAAACAACACTCAATTAAATAAACTAAGATAAGAGGAATAGTTCTACATAAATATAATTAAAATTAAACTCAAAATACATCTTAAGGAAGTCCACGAGCTTCATCGAAACTGACGGTTTTCTTACTCATTGTACGACAAGAGTAACAATAGGTGGTTTCGGTGGCAAGTTTCGAATGGTCGAGGTAATGTGGCACTCGTCGGTGTTGTGTCGAGCGGGGATCGTAGTATGAGCTTGGGTGGGGTCGTTGTCGATGGAGGGCAAACAGTCTAAAGGAAGTCCACGAGCTTCATCAGGATGATGGCAAACAGTCTGCTTGGATGTATCAGAGCTCATGGTCGGGATCATCGTAGATATCCGTCCATGCCCGCATCTCTGCCACCTCCGGTACAAGTTGATGTCCCTGATCCCCCACCACCATACGAGATAAAGAAGATCAAGAGGGTTCGGGAAATGTCCAACGTGCCCGACGTAACGCCATATAAGGCGTGGAAAGTGTCGGCCCCATTGGTTGTGACACATGGTTGCTGCCCGAGTTCCGCCCAAGATCCCCGCACGAGTTCCGCGCAAGATCCCCGCCCGAGTTCATCCCAAGAGCACCGCCCCTCCATCCCCAACGACCCCACCCAAGCTCTTACTACGATCCCCGCTCGACACAACACCGACGAGTGCCACATTACCTCGGCCATTCGAAACTTGCCACCGAAACCACCTATTGTTACTCCCGTCGTACGAGGAGCATGAAAACTGTCAGTTCCGGTGAAGCTCGTGGACTTCCTTTAGATGTATTTTGAGTTGAATTTTAATTATATGTGCTTGGAACTATTATTCTTATCTTAGTTTATTTAATTAAGTGTTGTTTTAATTTATTTTTATTTCTATGTAATTGTCTTTGTTCATTTTTTTCGTGTTAACTTGATATTATCCAAATTCGATCAATCAACAATTCACAATTACTTGGCAAAGAAGTCATCTCAACAATTCACAATTACTTGTCACAGAAGTTATCAATCAACAATTCGAATTAGCTGAGTCCGCCACCTTCGTTTATCATGTCCTGGAACTTTGCATATTGAACATCGTCTTGGGCCTCGTGGTGGTCTTCCACTTTGATCCATTTCGTTCTGAATTCTCCAATGTTGTTAGAACCGAATCGGAGCTTGACCTGGTATCGTGAACGGCTCGTACTTTAGTGGTCCAACCGGTATTAGACCGATAAAAAACCGTTAGAGAACCGATACCTTATAAACAATAAAATCATAAGTAGAAGACATATAAAGTAATAACTTAACAATTTTATGACTAAAATAAAATTTGCTTTGCAGGTGTCATTTAGTAATTTGACATGTATATATATATGTAAAGCTTCAGAAACCTTACCACCCCCACCTTCTCATGCGCCGACCTTCTCAGCGCCGCTAACCCTTCTCTATCTCTTCCAATTCTTCCTTCTCTCTCTGTCTCTCAATTCGATCCCCAACACTCAATCTCTATCTCTTCCAATTTCTTCCATCCCTCTCTCATCTCTCAATACCCGATATCAATTACCAAACACTGAATCGGCCTCTCACCCCTACAGTGACGACGATTAACTGACGGGGATGGAGGACATAGCTAGACCGATTCGGCGACGCCTTTTCCCTGTTTTAAAGAAACCCTCGCCGCTGTCATCGTCGGGAGGAACACCCACTGCTACTCTCTGAGTTTCGGGCAAAAACCATGGGTTTGCCGGCAGCCCACTCGACTCAATGGAGCCAAGAAGTTTTGTCCCAAATTTTTTTTTAAATTCCAGACGGTCGGAAACCAAAAACCGGTTGGACGGTTCGAGCGGCTCGAATGGTTAACCATTTCGGCCGCTCAAAAACCGGCCTTACTGACCGTTGCGGCTATTAGAGGGTTCCGAACCGGATTTGTGTCCGGGTGGCGGTTTTACCGGTCCGACCGACCGGCTCGGTTCGGCTTTAACAACACTGGAATTCTCTTTTTCCTCTGACGACCCGGTTCACGCATCTGTCCGAACGGCGGGATGATCAATTTTCCTTCGTACCGCACTGGGGGTGCGGTTTGTGTGGCAAAACCGCACGTTGGGGATGCGGTTTTGTTGTGGAGAAGCAAACCGCATCTCCAAGGTGCGATTTTGATATGTCCATCAGGCCAAAACCGCATCTTGATACGTCAGACCTGAAACCGCATCGCCAAGATGCGGTTTTGGCCTTGGATAACCAACCACACCTTAGAGGTGCGGTTTATATATAAAACGCACCTCCAAGGTGCGGTCTATAAAAAAGGGTGCTATTTTTGTAAGTATTTTCGAGTGGGTGCTATTTTTGTAATTTTTTTTAAAGGTGCTATTTCTGGAAAAATTCCGAGAGGAGGGAGGCTATGAAAATAAAGAACCCACCAGGTGTTGTAACTGCCCGCGCTGAAGCCGCTGCTGGTCAGGATGCTGCTGCTGCTGCAGTAGCTGGTCAAGGGGCTGGGTATGCTGCTGCTGTTCAGGGCGTTGCTTGCCAGGGCTGAAACCTAGCCACCGTCCGTGTTTTTTTTCCACTTATTCGGTCATCAACACAAACTTCTCTCTAAGACGAACCTAGCCACCGTCCAACAGAAAGAGACAAACCTAGCTCTTTTGCTTTTGTATGCAATTGTGCCCTCAGGTAGCTGCTGCAACTATTCTATAGTACTACTTCACTTACTCTTCTTTGCAATTGTGCAATCAGGCAGCTGCAATTGGACTAATGGAAGCTGTACAACTTTCTAAGTAACATCGGCTAAGTGCTGTGTGTATGTTGGTAAGTGGAACGACACCGTGGAGAAGGAAACGGTGTCGAAGCGTGCTTCTTCAAGCAGCGATTTAGGGACTGGTTCTCCAGGTTAGACCTGTGAAACCAGAATCCAAAAACTGGGTCCATCCTTTCTTCTTCTTACCCTCCCTCAAGCTGAGGAGCATAGACATCTGCTACTCCAAGCTTGTTAAGAAGAAAGTGAAGACGATGTCGACTCAACGCCTTGGTAAAAGTATTTGCAAGTTAAAGCTCAGATCTCACATAAGTGACTGTAACAATTTTGTCCAAAATGTGCTGACGAATCAGGTGACAATCCACAATGTGTTTTGTCCTTTCATGGAATACTGGATTGTGTGCAATGTGAATTGCAGATTGATTGTCACAAAACAAAGCTGCTGGTGATGTATGATCTATCCCCATTTCCAATAGCAGGTCCTTCAACCACACCATCTCACATGAAAGCATTGCAAGTGACTTGTACTCTGCCTCGGAAGAGGACCTGGATACAGTTTGTTGTTTCTTAGTTCTCCATGTAATGAGTGAGTCTCAAGAAAAGTGCAGTAACCAGTGAGTGATTTCTTTGTCCAATCAGCATCTTAATACCCCTTATGTTGCAATGAAGAATTGGTTTTGAACACCAGACCTTGTGTTGGTTTGCTTTTGAGATACCTGAAAACATGGTGCACAGCTTGCATATGTTGATCTGTGGGTTCCTTTTGATACTGACATAGTGTACCACATAAGTGATGTCTGGTCTTGTTGTAGTAAGATACTGCAATTTGCCAACCAATCTTCTATAAGGTGTTGAGTCTGGAAGTAGATTACCTGCTGTAGCAGCAGTCTGGTCTTGAGTTCTATAGGAGTTAACACTGGTTTACAGCTCAGAAATCCAGCATCCTTCAACATATCCAGACAATATTTCCTCTGACAAACAAAGATCTCTCTTGAACTTCTTGCAATCTCCAAACCTAAGAAGTATCTTAGTTTTCCCAAATCTTTGATCTTGAACTCCCTTGCTTCGTGAACTTGATCGACCCGTAGTCGTTGAGCCAATGCATTCTTTATGGTTCAGGATGTTTAATTGTTGCCAATCCCAATTGTTTAACCACGTCGTGGCTAATTACGTTCGTACAACTACCCCCATCGATGACCATTGACACACTTACCATTGACCAAGCACCTCGTGTGGAAGAGGTTGGTTTGTTGGCCTATCCCGCCTCGGAATCCATGGTCAGGGATCTAAGATTCATCCCAAACAGGAATGGACCCTTATCAGCCTCAATCTCTTCGTCGACGTCTTCATCGGAGGAGTCCTTGATCACTTTCTTATGGACTTCTTCGTCGTTAGAGACGTACTCACCATCTCGTAGGACCAAGTTTTTAACATTGGGGCATTGGTTGGCCTCGGCCATGGCACTTGAAGCACTGAATCGAGCCACTGGTACCCCCTACGAGTTCTGGATTCGTCGTTGAAGCATTTCGTGGCGCGAATTTGGGCAGTTCGGGTTTGTGTTGTAGAGGGACAACCTCAGCAGCATTCTCAACAGCAGGTTTATGTCTAGTAAACCTCCTCCCTGATGTGCCCTTCTGCTGTTTCTCGATTTTTACGACAAGGTGCACAGCTTCGTCTAAATCAACAAACGCCCTTAACTCCACCTCCTGACGAATTTCACGACTTAAGCCGTGGAGGAACCGAGCGATCGTAGCTTGCCTGTCCTCCATAACGTCAGCTCGCAGCAATAACAACTCCAATTTGTGAAAATATACTTCAACGCTTCGCGAGCCCTATTTGATCCTTACAGTGATTCGTGTAGCTCACGTAGACAGTGCGTAGGGACAAACTTCTCCCTCATGTCGCAACAAGAGGTTGCAAACTTCATCGTCGACGAAGTTGCAATTGTTCCCACCATTGAGCTGCATAGTCCGAGAAAAGGATGACATTTTGCTCCCAATCGAGATACGTCGAAGCACTCAACGTTCCCTGAAAGGCAGGAATTGTCA